GCTGTGAGCCAATCATCAGCTGGCAGTCTGAAGGGCAGGGAAACAGCCCAATGAACATCACCGCAGAGGAGCCAATCAGCTAGATGTTGCTGGGGCAGTCTGAAGCTTGCTGGCAGCTGGAAGTTTGCTGGGGCCCCTTTGGCTGTGGCTCTCAACACCCCTCTATATCTTTAACCTGAATAACCCTGGGTACAGTCTTCTCTCTGCTTGTTTCCATTGTATTCTGCTAGGTACACCCTAGGCAGCACAGTTGGTCCTTGCCAAGGGTATGGCAATATTTGCTCTAATTTCCTGGGCTTCTACATCAACAAGCTGCATTATGAGCTGTTCAAGATAGCTCCATGCTACAGCTCTTCACTTGCTACTTGAGAAACATAGAGCACTTTTCAAACACCATCTTGTGTTAATCTGGTTCAGCTAAATTCAGTCTGTTCTATAGTTTGCCCTATGCCAAGTTTTTCCACTGTATTTTTCTCTACTTTGTGTTGTGCCTCTCTTCTGTGGTGAAATGGCAGCACTACTACTGGCTACTTGGCACCAGTGTACTCATTTTTGTCCTCTGTCCAAAACACCTGGAAATTCTGGGTCTCTATAAGTAATCTCTTACTATCTGATTTGAATTTCAGTGAATTCTATCATCCATCTTGCTGAATCCCAAGCCCTGAGACAGCTGGAAAGTATGAACCCTTCCTCTAGTCCTTTGATCTCCATATTTTCTTCTTTATTCATTAAAATCAGTGATTCTCAAACTGAGAGGAATATTAAAATAGATCACTGGTCCCTAGCCATTATAATTCAGTAGGTCTGGGATACAGCCAGAGAATTTCAATTTCTAATAAGTACCTAGGTGATGCTGATAGTCTAGCATCCCCTAAGAATTGGTATAGATGATTGGGTGGTAACTTATCTTAGAGGATTTGTTCCAAGACTCCCCACAGATACGCTATACATATTCTTTCCATTATCTTTAAATTGCCTGATGATTACTTAATCACACTTAATACAACATTAAGTGCTGTATGAATAGTTATTATACTCTTGTTTAGATAATAATGACAAAAAAATTGCAGGTTTAATAGAGATGTAATTTTCTCTTCTATTTTCTTTTTCCTGAGATTGGTTTAATCTACAGATGATGAACTCAAGGATATAATAGGCCAAGAATATATGTATTCTAACACAAGTCTATTTAATTCAGTACAGAATTCTGTTTTCAGAGTTATATGTTTATTAATTTGATAGAGTTCAATTTATGTAAGGCTATGTTATATTCAGGATATTTTATTATTATTTTAAAGCCCTTTTATTAAATAACAAGCAGGAGGATATGAAAGAAGTTAGAAAAAATGATGAATCTGGGTCATAAGTATATTGAATACAATGATTGTTTGGAAGACCTAGTTTTGTCTGTTTGAACATTTCCTTAAAGAGTAGTTTTTAAATACAGTGTCTTTATATAATGTTGATATAACTTTATTCATACTTGATCTTTTAATAAAGACAAGGTTGCATCTTACAGAAAAACTCCAAAAATTGACCAAAGAGAGGTCAGCAAGGAGATGAAGGAGAAATCATCCATGATTCATCTACGATTAGCCCATCACAAAATGAAGAATGAGATTCAGACAAGGTAAAATAACTTGTTATTTTATGGTAAAATATTACTTATTTTCATACTGTGATTTCTTTTATATGAATCACTCTTTTGGATACCCCAATTTATAGAGAAATATTTGTATGTTAGATTTATCATTTCGGGGGCAGAAATTCATCTGTCACGCAAATGTGTTTCTCACCAGAGACAAAAAATTTATTCTTTACTCTCTTAAGAAAGATGAAATTTTTCTCAGATAATAAGTATCCACTAGGATATAGTATATTTAGAAAAAAAATGTTTTTTGTACTGATTGAACACACAAAAGAATTTTAGGCATTTTAAATTCAGAAAGAATTGGAAGTATGTATTATTATAAAAGGAGGCTCACTGCTTAATTGCTATTCATAGAACTTTTGTATTTCAAAATTTGAAATCAATCAATCCAAATTATTCCTAATAGGTGAGAACCATTATCTAATATTATTACTATCTAATAAGTTACCAGGTTGTTCTTTAGCCCTGAACTAAACTTAAAAACTATTAATTAGTATTTTTTAAATTAATGTCAACTTCAATATATTTGCCACAGGAATTCTGTTCTTATGTGAAATGTTAATAAACTTTCTTAAAAAATGTTTTTGCTTTACTTTTAGAAAGTCAGTGTTCCATTTTGAGCTTATGTGCAAAGACTTTTTTGGGGAGGCAGGTACTGAGGATTGAACCCAGGGGCACTCAACCACTGAGCATTGAACCATATTCCAGCCTTATTTTGTATTTTATTTAGAGTTAGGGTCTAATTGAGTTGCTTAGCACCTTGCTTTAGCTGAGGGTGGCTTTAAACTCGCGATCCTCCTGCCTTAGTCTCCTGAGCCACTGGAATTACAGGCTTGCTGTGCAGAGATTATATCATATTGATATTTTTCTAGCAATCTTTAATAATAAATACCAAAATTTTCATAACTCTAGAAACTATGAAAATACTCTGACAATTTTGAAACACCCTGAGTTAGCATACCTTTAGTAAATACTCAATTTTTTAGTGTACAACTGTAGTAAATAGATCTCCTTCTGTGTATTTCATTGCTCTTTAGTTTGAATTAGAAATTGTTTTCAGTCATGACATTTTTAAACCTCAAAGTCTATTCTTTCTTGTAGCAATAAAGACATTATGTGTTTAGTTCATTTTAAGTTGCACTGGTTTTTCTAGAGATTCAGAAACCTTTTTATTTAACCCCAACTCTATTTAAGTGGTATTCTAAAGCTATCACTAGTCAGGTAGACAAGAAGTCTTGTGCCAGAGACTGTATTTCACTGCACTAAGACTGCTGATTTTATGCCTTTAAAAAAATTTTTTTTGCAAGAAATGTGGTGTGACATGGTGTGAAGACTTATGTATTTTTTAGGAGGGGAGGGTATAACTAAGTTGCAGATTGAATTTGAGGGCACTTGACCACTGAGCCACATACCCAGCCCAATTTTTGTATTTTATTAGAGACAGGGTCTCACTTGAGTTGCTTAGCACCTTGCTATTGCTGAGGCTGGCTTTGAAATCACTCTCCTCCTTTCTCAGTCTCCTAAAATGCTGGGATTATAGGCATGCACCACCATGCCTGGCTTAGCACTTTTATGGTTTTTTTAAAGAAAAAAATGTACTAATATTACTTACAAATCATGTAGGTAATACAAAACTGTCTTTTGTGCAAGAGGAGGATGCCTGGAATACTTGTGAATATATCTCAATGCAGTGATTATTATTATGCAGTGAAATATGATAATAAAATTTTAGTTAACAACAGACTGCATGTACAATGATGATCCCATAAGAATATATCACCTAATGATAATGTACCATTTTGCCAAGGATATAGGCACTCTATGAAGTTTGCACAAGAGTAAACTCTCTTAATGAATCATTCCTCAGAGCATATCCCTATCCTTAAGTGTTATATAACTGTATGTGTCTTCAGACACCTATTAAGGATTTAACCCTTCTTATATTTTCTTTTTGGAAGTCCTTTTGGTAGACAGTGGTATTTCTCAATATTATTTTTAAGACAGGAGTTTGTTAAATTCAAATACAGATAACCATTTAAAGAGAAAATGTTACTTAGGAAGAGATGAAAAAATGTTACACAGAAGTAAACTAACCTCACTAACTAAACATAACCTGATCCATATTTGAATCAAATTATATACTTGTTTCCCTGATAATTGTTTCCACTATTTCCATTTAATGGGATGATGTTACAGCTGTCTTTAAGAGCATTTTATAATACCTGGTTGTATGAGACACACTTGAAATCCCAGTGGCTTGGGAGACTGATACAGAGGGATCACAGTCATCTTGAGCAACTTAGTGTTACCCTATCTCAAAATTTAAAAAATTAAAAAATTAAAAAAAAAATGAGTTGGGGTTGGGGCTCATTGGTTTACCTTGCCTGAGGTTTAATCCCTGATACTAAAGAATAAAATAAAATAAAATAAAATATTTTTTGTTATGTAATGATGTTTATTTTTATTATCTTATGAATGGAATTATTGCTTCCATGATTTTATTATTGCATGTCATAACATAAAATTTAAAAAGCAGAGAATAAGAACAACAAACAAATTTGTTTAAAAATTTTGTTTGAACAAGTTTGTTTTAGAAAAGTTACATGAGCTCACTAAAATTTTTTTATTTTTAATTCTTTAATTTGTTTTAATTAATTAATGTAATTTAATTAATTGTATTAATTATAATATATTTATATATACATATATATATATATATATATATATATATATATATATATATA